AGCTACAGTGGACGAGACATTAACCGGGGCAAGCCAAACGTCAAGTTCCATGTAGGGCTTGGGGGCGGAAGTCCAATGGATCATGTTGATCGAGGCAAAAAACAAGTAAACTGAAATTCATAACTATGCGACCGCATAGTTAGAAAATTTCTTTTTTTGCGAATTTTCCTTATTTTACTAGAATCACAAGACATGGATTCGAGGACGAATCCTTTCGAAGAGAGAATTATATGATCCGGGACAAGTAATACATAAAATATACGGGTTTCCTTTTTTTCGCGAGTTTCCTTATTTCATTAGAATTCTTTTTATCGCAATCTTTTGTAATTCTAGCAAGTTATTTCCAATCCAACTAAGGATTTAGTCTTTTCCTATAAATATTGACATTATATTCATTGTATGGACAACCTACATTATTATTATTATTGAGAATTAAACGTGAGGCTTTTAACTTTCAAATCCTTTATTCTTCATTGAGTAATTGCGAACTTATCAAGAATCGATTTCTTGTGGCGTTCAAACATCAGGGTTAGATTCATAGGTAGTGTAATCAAGAGGTCAACATATTGTCGGCGATTGTGTTGGTTGCTTGGTTCATTGATTTTGGGTCGAGTCCAATACCTCGATTTATTGGCTTTCTTGGATTGGTTCTAATCTCGTTGTGAGTTGCATAGCTACTATTGCTACGTGGTTCTCATCTCTTGGACTATCATTATTAATTTCATGGAGAAACCTTCAATACTTTAAAGCTTGTGCCATTGAATGTTACAGATTTTTCCTCAGATGCTGGAAGAGAAAAGCACCGCTTACGGAGGAACAGGTTATGGTTGTCTCATTACAGTTCTAGAAAGAAGATAGAGAAGGAACAAATGAATTCAGCACCAACCATTCTGCTTGCATCATTACAATTGTAGAGCTAACTGGGGACCTCTGTTCATAAGAAGAGCGGCTAAATGACCAAATATAAAAAGGCAAACCTTTATATATTCCGTGTTTCCTCATTAAGAGGCATCTGAAATTATGGAAATATGACAGCAGCTAACTGATCTTATCAAAGCTTCTTGGTTCTTAATATGTGCTAGTTCACAAAGGCAGTTTCTCAGTTACACTCATGAATGATGTTGTAAAGAGTTATCACTGTCACAAAATGAAATCAAATATCATGTTTGTAATTCAAACATGTTAAAATAAAGTCCTTTTCAGCACATGTATACGAAGTTAAAAAAATTTCATGGAGCAACGTTGATGGTAATCAACAAAAATTAGTGCACACACCTTGGAGCATTTTTAAGGACTTCAAATTGTTCTTCTGTTGGTAAAGCGCGGCCAAATACATCTTTTGGCCTTGGTTTCTTTTTCTCCTGAGCAGAGGGCATTGACTCTGTCATCCTAGCAAAGAAGCACCATTTACATTTATTTTATGTGCAATGGTTTTGAAAAAAATAATAAATTCATTTGGTAGAATAATGATCTAACTATCTCAAAATGAGGTGTAAATTTTATTAACCAGTGTTTCATGTAAAAACCATAAAAACCCATTACACTGATGATGAGGCTCCAGCGAGAGATGGCTCCTCAGAGGCACTAATACTTTGGTCCTGCTTTTTTCCCTCATTCGCCATTTCTGCAGCTTTTGCACTCTCCGCATTGTAACCAGGAGGTTTTACATACATAAAGCTTACAGCCTTCATCATCTCCAACTGCACAATCACAATCAAGTAAAAATTGCAATCACCCACTATCCATGCCTATGTTAAACTGTGATCTATCACTCTCCACTAGGATTCAATAGTGCAATGCTAAATAATGTTGCCTCGTGTGAGCAAATGCCAAAATAATAATCTCATTCTAAAAATGTGTGTGAGATAGATTGGAAATGACACACCAAGCTTTTACTTATTGCTCTAGCAAAGTATGACATTAAATCTAGCACATAGCATGAGCAACAGATAATCTACTATATTATGTTTCAACCTTCAACATTTTTCAGCATCATGTATCTCCTTATTCAGGTTATACATGGATTTTCCTGTACTTATGCTTTTTTCTCCTTTTATACGAATTCTTTTATAGCCTTCAATATCCCATTTCCCACTTACATTGTTAGATATAATTACTTACCTTTTCTTTCTCTTTCTTGGAGATAAGCGCAGTCTGCCGAAAAAAATCCTGCTCCTGAGCATACTGTTAGGAAAAAAACACATAAACAAAATGAATGAGAAAACGTTACAGTTTGTTGTCATAAAGAAAAATTTGATATATAGTGAAAAGACAAAAGAGACCCACGTAGTGGCACCAAAACCCCATGTGAAAAAGAACAAAAAATTTAAAATTAAGAAACAAAATTGGCAACTTTAATGAAGACTCCAACAAAATACAATTTCAGAATATCAATGACAAAACAAAGCATTGACTTTCCAGCTGACTTAACAACACGCAGTAGTTCTTAAAACAGTTGCAGCTTGCCCTCTGCTGCAATTTAAGAGGAAATAACGGTCATTTCCACAAAGAAATCTTTAATCTTGATATATGGATTGAGGAACGTTATGTACTTTACGAGTGGAAACATTGCAAATTCTTACTGCAATCCACAGAACACACGCATTATCAGTGCTGCAGTGGCTTTCCCGCAAGCAATTTAATACAATTAAGCGATTAAGCTCATTTCATGAGAAAACAAGAAAAAATCATCGAAATTTCCTGATTGAACGCACTGCAGTATTGTACCTGCGGGGAAAAAAAAACTATACATATGAGCATTGTTTGTACCTCGCGGGAGACCTCCTCGGTGCGGCGCTGTTTCTGGGCGTGAGTTTGCTCGGCGATCCACTTGCGGCGCTGATTGGGATATGAAAGAGGATGCCATGGTTTCTGGTTGAGGAACGAGTGTGACCATGCCGTACCCGACTTGGTCCTGTAATCAACCTCTCCTTCTTTGTCTGAAAATCTCTTGCTCAATTTGAACCCTCCCCTTTCTTCGTCTTCCATTATCGAACTGTGAACGCAATTGAACTGTGTGCTTGTGCGCCCCAAATTCCTAATTTCTTCTGAGCTTGGGGCGTTTGGTTACAGGCCTTTAGCTAAACAAACTCGTGGAATTTTATGTAAGTCTCTGTTTGGATTTCTTAAAAAGTAACTTATAAATTTTAGTCGTAATTAAACTTTAACTTTCGTTACATATTCTCCATATATTTCGTAAAATTCACTACTCACAATCATACATCCTAAAGTTATATAAACATAATTAAAAAAAATTTCCAGTTCACTTCATATATATGCTTTTCTTTATTTGAAAATTAAATCCATGTTTGGTCCGAATTAAAATCTGATTTTAATCCAAGTCAAAATCAAACAATCAATATTAACCACATCTTTCATGGATCTCATAACTTTTCAACCACACATTTCAAAAACTTCTATCAAAATCTACTAAAAATTTAATTCTAATCTTTACCTAGCATCCTCTAAAATTGAAACAGAGATAGCGACAAGATAGGCACGAGGATTTTGAGGAGGGTAAGGGATTAAATATTTTCAAATTAACTCAATTTTTAATTTCTTGATATTTATTTATTTGACTTTGTAGATTGTAATTTTTGAAAAGTTTTTAAATATAATTTTGTTGACATTTATTTCTTTAATTTTTTAGATTGATAAAATTATTTAGAGTGTTTTTGAATCACATTAAGGACGTGTCTGATAACGATTTCCTTTGTATTAATATCGAAAATCCGATCGTTGGTTCCAACAAAATTCTGTCTCATTTTATGACAATTGCAAGGTCAATAGTTCACTTGCCAAGTTTACCCTCGTTTTTATTTTCTGATCATCGATGAGTTTTAGTTGTTGAGGGTAGTTGTGAAATTTCGCCTGATAAAATATATGTCACTTACCTGCAATTCTGACATTATTTATGAGAAGAAAATGTGTAACGGTTAAATTTTTGATTAAAATTCACCTTTTAAGCCCCACCAGACACACCATAATTCAGAAGAATGTATTTTGTAATAGTAGATTGACGGAGAATATGTAGTTGAAAAAGAAAGAAAAGTTATTGGTGTAATGAAAAATATTATTTTATTGAAAAATGTGTAATTAAAAATGAGCAGTTGAATGATAATAAAAATTTTAATGTGCACAAATTCTATTCATTAAAATTTATAATACAGAATTCCATTAATTTTTTTTTATAGAATCTGTGAACTGTGGAGTCCCTTCATCACAAAAATGTGAAAATTCTCTATTATTCCTGAGGGCACGTTTGATTAACGAAATTTTTCAGGAAAGTAGAAAAATATTTTCCGTTTTCCATCTTTTGGGCTATTTGATAGCCCAAATTTTCCCCGGAAAATATTTTCCCTCTCCACCCGCCACATCATTATTTTCTTGGTTTTCTTTTGGAAAAATATTTTCCAATCGGCTGAAGCAAATTTTTTTTTTTTTTTTTCTTTGTTTTCCTTGAAAATATTTTCCCAACATTTCCCCCCCGCTGAAGCAATTTTTTTTTTTTTTTTGAAATGGAAACAAATATCATAATAAATTGTAAAAAAAAAAATTCACTTTAATGGACAATTTTCATGTAAAATAAAGTCAAACGTATACTAAACTTTGATGATAAAAATGATTTTTTAGGAAATAATTTTTCTATTTTTTTTTTACTTTTTGGTAATGGAAACAAATTTTATAACCAATTGTGGAAAAAAAATATCATTTTAATAAACAATTTCCATGTAAAACAAAGCCAAATGAATAGAAAATTTAAAAATTTTTCTGATGAAAAATTATATTAATCAATCACACTTAAAATCATTTTCGTAAAACATTTTCTAATCAAATCTTTCCCAAACGCGACCTAATTTTTCTTCCTTAAAAATCACGAATCGCACGGCCCCACTTCTCACCAACCATCATTCCATCCCCAATCAACCATCTCAGCCTTTACATACAAGAATTATACCTGTCGAGGGTAGCAGTGAGATGAAATTACTGTTATGAAGACGATGGCAGCAGCATCTACAGTGAGTTCAAATGGAGGGAATGTTTGGCGAGCACATATGGCTATGGCCATGGTGCAGGTGTTCAATGGAGGTTACCATGTTATCACCAAAGTTGCACTTAATGTGGGGGTGAATCAGCTTGTTTTCTGTGTCTTCCGCGACCTCCTTGCGCTCTCGATTCTCGCTCCTGTTGCGTATGTACACGAAAAGTATGTCCCACAGTCCCCTCTTACGGGTGTGTGCGTGTCAAGATATCTGTTTATGTCTATATAAATTTGGCTATTCCTATATGGTGATAGTTCTTGACAGTAATTATTTCATGACCACTAATTTAGGGCCAGCTACCATCACAAATATCGGTCAATTTTACCAAATTTAATTGTGTTTTTTTCTAAAGACTCTAATTCAAGTGTTCATGTTACATTCTTGATCCTGAAAATGCGAAAAACCTGCAAGCAACAGTCCGTGTTGAGATCGGACAACTGAGACAGGGGTGGCGGATTTCACTCCTACAATCAAGTTAGTTATGGTTCCAAGGAGAATATGAAATAACTTCAGTAAGTTGAATTATTCGTTTTTTAATGTAGGTGTAGCATAACTGGCACCGTCTACAACCTACATGCTAGATTAGGTGTGGCATCTTCTAACTTTCTATATGGACCATTCCCTGTGTTGATTATCTGACTTGATTCAGTTGCATGTCACTATGTCAGCAATTCCAGGTAGAGCTGTGTTGGTCTCTGAAGGAACTTAGTGCGTTGGCATTGTGCTGACTACTGCAGCCGTACCAAGCTCTTCTTTCTTGATCTGGGATGAGTGATACTTACAACGAGTTCATCTTAATCCTATTAAGAATATCTTTTACTTAATTTAATCAATTCTTCAGAATGCAATTAAGCCCTTGTTTGGTGGCCATTCTTTCCAAGAAAAAGAGTTTTGAATAGTTTTTTTTAGGAGAACGTGTGGTTAAAAATTAAAAAGTAGTGAAAATTTTGGGTTTATGTACATAATATTTTATTGTGTAAATGTGTGGTTGAAAATGAGTATGTAGAAAAAAGAGTTGTAAAAGTATGGGAATCAAGCAAGGGCTAAGAATAATGAATAATAGGTACCTTGAAAGAGGACGTTGAGAAAAATTGTATTAATCATATATTCTATATAGGATTCTTCTAAAATATACTAAAACTATATAATTTTAAATTTTATGCATTGCCCCCCCATCAATATCAATTGATATTCCGAATTCGCAATTTATAGATTAAATACTACCAACTTCTTAGATTATATATCGACGTCCCAACCTTCCTTTAGTCATAAATTTAATCAAATGTCTCTATATTTGAAATCCCATTTATATAAATGTGTTTCATGTTTATTGAATAGGACTCTATCTATAAGAATTACCAATGCACTTAGAGTTTATGACCACTCCCAATAAAATACCTCACATGAATCTCATATCGAAATATCATGGTATATATTGAGAATTTACATTTCCACGATCATATAAAAACTAATTGTCTAAATTATCAAGGATATTGAACAACTCCTATATGGTAAAAGGCAGAAACGTATTTATTAGATGCATTGCTTTTTATGATACTGAGTATTGGACTATTGAATAACTAAATGTCCATAAGATGGGAGTGGAAATGAGGATGCTAAGATTGATTTATAGCCATGCTAGAACTAGAAGATAAGAAATGATATTACACGCCAACAAGTAGAGGTGACATCGATTGAGGATAAATAAGGGCAAACCACTTAGGTTGTAACATATCTTTCATAGGTGTGAGAAGATTTATTTCACAAGAATGAGTGATCTTAGTGGAACTTGTTAGAAGAGGGATATCTAGACCAAAACAAATATGGCCTCTTCTTGTGGCTGTGAAAGATCTGGTTATATTGGGTAGTCTAGTAGATGCAGTGACACACCAACCAGGTGGCAAAAATAAGGTTTGTATTATTGTATTATCGAGGACATTGAACAACAATATGATTGGACCTTTTAACGTGTCAAAATAATTAATATTATAATTCAATTTGTTATTTTTTCACCATTAATAACGAACATAAATATAGTCGATGGGAGGAAATCAATCTTAGTTATTGTAGTTTAAAGAAAGTATTTATCTCCTGGCGCTGTTCAATGTGTTCTATATGCTAGAAGCTTACAAAATCTCATTTTACTGGCTTATGAATCTGTCTATGCAATCTCTCTCTGGACATTTAAATTATCAAATTAATAATGTAGCAAGTCACTTACATAGAAATTAGAAAAATAAATCTCATTCTAAAGTTAGGTTATCACATGAAGCAGTAACTAATTTCCCGGCTCATTCCTAACAAATTGTTCATTTCTAAAATTTCTTTAGCTGTATTTTACGTGGTGTTATAAATAGTGCATCACTTACTAATCTTCTATTTCTTATTTTGCAGAAGGCTAAGACCGCCTCTGAATAGACGCCTTGTTATGACATTCTTCTTTCTTGGTTTGACTGGGTAAGTTTAATGTCTCCAATGCTTTTTATGCTTATAATTTCGTGTACTGCTGTGCTACTGATTTGCTTCATCTTTTTCCTTTTCATTGGTAATTGAATAGGATTTTTGGAAACCAACTTTTGTTTCTTATTGGTCTGGGCTACACAAATCCAAGTTATGCTGCAGCCATTCAGCCTGCTATTCCAGTCTTTACATTTGTATTAGCTGTGATAATGGGGTCAGTCTACTCTATTTATGCTGCTCTGTCTCCCTCTCATGCATACTCTGTATTATCTCATCCCGCCATCCTGGGTGTATGCTTGTTGTGTGTTTGGGTGCGCGCCTTTACAAATATGAGAGTCAGATTCATATCCATTTCCTTTGTGTGTATATATGATCCTTATATATTGTCACTGTTCATTGTCACATTTCTTTATTCTTTATGCAGTACAGAAACAGTGAATTTGCAAAGAACTGAAGGCCAAGCTAAGTTAGGAGGTACTATTGTGTGTATTTGTGGTGCCATTCTAATGGCTATGTTCCGTGGTCCTGCCATGTTTGGATATAAGGAATCAGAATTTGCAGCTCAAAGTGAAATAAGTGCCAAGGGTCAGCCTGAGCCTGTTGGATGGTTATTGTCTAGTTTTCTGGAATTAGGGATTGATAATTGGAACCTTGGTGTTTTATGCTTAATTGGGAATTGCATGTGCATGGCAACTTATCTAGCCATTCAGGTATGAATAGTTAGTTGAGTTGAAATTCAACTAGCTTCTTTCCTTTTCAGTTTGGGTAGAGCTTTCTTGAGCGTGTAGTAACATTCACATTATTGTTTCATATTTATAATGAACGATGGTTTTTACAGGCACACGTTAATTCAGTCAATTTAAGTGGTCTGAACGTAATTTTCGATTTATTGGTTAACCTATTTGGTCTGCCCAATTTCCTGTTTCTAGGGATTCATTTTGTTTTTAAGTTGTTACACCATATATCAACAGTTATTATTTCTTCACATCGCCTTCTACTGGCCATGGCTTTCAATTGTGTGAGGTTACGTTTCTTGTTGCTATCTTTGTCTTCTCCGGAGTGTGATTAAACACTTTCACATACATCAGAATCTCTCTCAATTTCTATGCATTTACATTTTCAGAAATTTCTTTTTAGCACCATATACTTTTGAGTTTCAAATGATTGTTGATTCTCTAAACCCAAATTTGGAAATTGCAATTCTGGTTTACCATATTTTGGCTGTGATTTTAGTAGTGTATTGGAATTTACTTCTGAAAAAAGTTTGCGAACTCTAATATTCTTCATGAAAATATGGGTCTGCCACTTTGTTTTTGGTTATATATATTTTTTTTTTTATCATATATATTTTTTGTAGTTTGTAGAGATTTACCTTCCCTTCCTACATATGTTTCAGGCTCCAGTTCTAGCCCAGTATCCTGCAAGCATATCAGTGACAGCGTATTCATACTTCTTTGGTGTATTCTTTATGGTGGTAACTGCATTCTTTATGACGAATGAGTCCACTGACTGGAATTTGACACAATCTGAGGCTTTTGCAGTGTCCTATGCTGTAAGTTACTTACATTTCTTTTATATTTCCATACTGTGGCTAGAAATCCAAGGGAGTTTACTAAGTTTTTTGCTATTTTTCTGAAACAGAAACTATAGAACAAAATTACGCAATCACTAGTAGAAAGGAGGATGTTACAAGCATATAAAACCAAATAAATTAAGAAATAAGAATATATGTTCACAAATTTAGACATGTTAGTTGGTTTGAACATAAATTAAGGTGGATTATATGACAAGTAGAAAGGGTAAGACGTATCCGATAGCTTCTTGAAAATATTAAGCAATATCTGGCAATCTGAACATAAGGTTATCCTATCAGTACGAGTTAAAAAGATTATGTGACGCGAATGTTTGATAATAATTATCTAGAAGCTTTCTGATTGTAAATCTAAAACAATCTTAAAATTCTAAATATATATATATATATATATATAGAAGCGTTTTAACATTTAAAATTAAAATGAAGAACTAGAGATTCAAGGATCACTGCAGTCGCTCTTTAAAGATAATAGAACTTTCTATGTCTTACTAAATTACTCTGGTGAATTATTTATTTCAACACAAAAGGTGAGATTTCAATAATTCTTTATTTATGGAAATATTTTTATGTACCTGTGTTTTCCTTTTGAAGCTTCAAATCTTATTCAGGTATTCATACAAGTTAATTTCATTCTCCCGTTCAGATGGCTCGAGAGAGAGAGTTTCCCCATTGACAAAATTGTTATTTTCCCCTTCCGTTATTACTATATCTCACTTGGAGAGATAATTTGATCTTTTTCCCAGTTTCATTTCATTCAATTAAGCACAAGTATATGAGCCTGTTTGGTAGGGATTTTTGGGGGAAGAATTGATTTTGAATAGTGATATGATGGGAAATGTGTGATTGAAAAAGAAGATAAAAGTATTGATGTGATGTGATATGTGTGATTGAAAAAGAAGAAAAAAGTTTTGATGTGATGGAAAATATTATTTTATTGAAGAATGTGTGGTTGAAAATGAGAATTGATTTGAGAATCAGAAACAAACAGGGCCTATAACTTGATGCTGGCTGAAATTTTGAATATATTCTGTTTGAGAGGGTCTAGAAAAGTTAATTTGGGGTTGTGGTGGAGGAAGATGGTGATGGGATTGAGAGTACAAGGAGAACATTTGGAGGTGATTCTGGAATATTGGGGGTATATGGAACTTATTTTTGCATTAGGTGGTAGATGTTGAAACAAGGTTCCTGTTTGATTTAGCTAAAAAAGTTTTATTAAGTTAACAATTAATTTTAACCACACATTTTATGGATCCCACAACTTTTATCAACTTTATTTTCAACTATATATTTCATCAACTTTTATCAAAATTTACTAAAATTCTGATGTTTAGCTAAACCAAACAGGGGCGAGGTGAGTGAACGGAGATTTTGGAGTGTTAATATAAGCTCCCCATGTTTTAAAATTAGCACATCCTGGTTTGATCAAGACTTTTTGCTCCTTACTCTTTTTTTTGTTAGTGATTTTTATTAGTAATTTTCTACTGGAATAGACTTCTTGTTTGGACCACCGAGGGAAAGGGGAAAAAAATAACTATCATATGAATTGTCATTAAGTTTGAAGTTTTGTTCTGATAGTAAAGTAATTTCTACCCAATCTTTAGGTATTTCTTTTCCATAAATTTTTAGTGATATGGAAAAAATTAATAGAGCAAGAAGAGGGAGGAGTAACCCAAAACTAAGTAGTTGCCAAGGACCTAATTGCTTTATATCTCTCATGTCATGGCTAACTTCTTTTATTGGGCCATTTATTATCTGGTGGGCTTGTATTAGGTGGGCTAGCTATTGACAAATAGTTTGAGCTAAATTTCACATGAAGTATGTCATGGCTAGCTTCTTGTTATTGGTCCATTTATTATCTAGTGGGCTTGTATTAGGTGGGCTAGCCCAAAGCCTAATTTTGTTCCATATAGGTTGAAGTTGGACGATGAATTGGGGGAATCGGTGAATTGAATTGTAGTTGTTGCCGACGCCCTTCCTATCTTCTTCTTCTCCGGTTCTTTCTCATCTTATCTGTTCTTCTTCTTCTTCTCTTTCATTTCTCTAAATCTGAATTCTCTTCTCTGATTTCCTGTTCTGAATCTGTTCTCCATTTCTCTGTTGGTCTATCATTTTCTCTCCTCTTCTTCTCCCTGCCTGAACCTTCTCTCAATTTCTCTGTTTCTCACCTGCTCCTCTACTGATCCATAACTTCTCTTTTATATCTGTCGTATTACTTGAAATCCCATGCATTGTATTAGAATGTATCAATCAATGAAATACAATTTACATTTGGTTGTTTCTGTCTAATTTCAATTCGTTCAATTATTGAAGTTCTAGCTTGGGTTATTGATTCCCAGCTGATTATATCCAATTATGTTTTGATTGAAATTTAGTTGGTTTTGGTTGAAGTTGAGCTCCAACCATTACATCTCAGTAGATTTAGCAACACAATAAAACAAAATACGGAAGAAGGATTCATGTTCCCCAAATCAAATTTATTGGAAATAAGACTTAGTTTGGTGTTGCTTTTGTATTTGAATATCTATGGCAGTCAAGCATGCTAACACATAATTTATTGATGAAAGTGAACTTTTTTTCTCTAGAGTTTCTCAGTGTTGCATGTCTGTGTGTCGATCATCTCATCTTAAGGTTTTAGATGTTAGAGTAGAGCCATGTGTATTCATTAAAATCTTGTCCTCGACAGTATGGTCTCTTGAGCTCTCCTGCTAGTTAGCATTTTAGTGTTCCTCTTTTATGCTAGGTATTTGGAGACGATATGACGGTGTTTCAAAGCATGGGCACTAGATCCTTGGTGCTTATTGTACCACATCTGGTTTGAGAAAATATTAAACATATTTGGAACCAATATTTTTTTCTCTATTTTCAATTTCAAAATTTGCGTATGATCTCATTTGGTGATCGGAGCTACTTCAAAAGCACCTGTTAGTGTTGATAAATGACTTGATATTTACTTCCCCTAGTGTTCAATTATGTGAATTAATTAAGCACCCACTGCTTTATAAATTTTCCTTACAGGGAATTGTAGCATCTGCTCTGAACTATGGGCTTTTGACATGGTCAAATAAGATTCTTGGCCCTGCCTTGGTTGCTTTGTATATGCCTCTTCAACCTGTTTTGTCCGCATTCCTATCAAGAATTTTCCTCGGAAGCCCTATTTACTTGGGAAGGTATACTCTCAAAGATTTTCCTATTCATTTTTGGTATTAGGTGCTAATCAATTCATTTAAGCAATGTTATCATGCACCTATGATGTGTAACCCTCTGCTCTTCCATGTTCAACAGTTTATTCGTTCTATCTTGTCATTTTATGGGGCCATTTATTAACTTATTCTTGTGAACAGCATTTTGGGAGGACTTCTAATTATATCTGGACTGTATTTGGTTACTTGGGCATCCAATAGAGAGAAACAGGCAGCTGGAATTCTTCCTCATGCAACTCGGCCATCAGAACAGGTTACTAATAAGGATTCGTCTCTCAACAAGATCCCATACCAGAAAGGACACATTTTCTCAGGTCCTTCGACTTCAATACCAAAGATCATGGATTAACTAGATGTTACCAAGAGGTTTTCTCGACTTTTATTACAGTGACCTCAAATTTATGTAAGAACTTGTATGTGTTTTATCAAGGCCAAGTTTCTCATCTCTCTTCCAGTGTTTGAAAATTCCATGTTATTCTTGTACCTTTCTTTGGGCACATAAGATTGCAGATTGCACAGACACCACTAAGGACGTGTTTGGTTCACTGGATTGGTTCCTGGAAGGATGTCTTTATTCCGATCCATTGTTTGGTGCAATGAGAGATCCTTTGTTTGCACCCTTGTTTACATAATGCTGAGTAGGCAATTCTCATTGATTGCCATAAACAAGGGTGTAAACAAGTGGATTTACACTTGGTGCACTAGTACCTGATTAAATTAATCCGTGTAGCTTATCCAGTCGAAGCCAATAGTTAGTCTTTATTTTGAAGTTCTTTCATCAGATTCATTCCTCTCATTCTTCCATCCAACAAACACGCTTCTCCTTGTCAAGGGTATTCTTATTATCTATTCTCAGCATAATTTGTCATTTTTATTAAACTACAAAAATGGTTTTGGCCAAGGTTTCTTAAGATAAATACTTGCTTCCAAATATTTCACCCTCTTTCGTATTTCCCGACACGATACCCTAATTGAATTGACCCACCTTACGTTTTCATCACTAGCGTGCCTACACAGTTACTATTATGCAAATGTGCTGCTAATGAGAGTCAAAATTATGAATAAACCAATAGAATGAACTTCGAAATGATGAATCATTTCAGCAATAATGCTTGCTACATCATGTGCATAAAATGAGGAAGAAAAACAGTACTGATACAAGAATTTGAACTTATTCGTCCTCAGTTTTCACTTCGACTCCCTCATAATTAGTATTGTTATCAGATGATAGTTCTGTCTTATCCTCTACTGTGCTATTCTGTTGGAGCTCCTCCTTTAATCTTCTTATATCGCCTTCTTTTTCTTCAAGCTTCTCTTGCAAGATAACCACCTGTGATAATCATAATTAGAAAACAACAATCGACAAGCTAGGATTGTACTAGACTAAATAATAAACAAGATTCCAACTACTTTTTCTTTCTAAATATTTTCACCTTACCAAATATGTCATAATGATTTCGGTGGATTTGCTTCAGTGCCCAGAATTTCGTAACTACAGTATTTCATGACGGTGTACAGTATTGCAGTAAAAGGTGAGCTCAATAATGAGAGTATGCACTCGGCTAATTAGTTACTTGAAGGAACAATAGACAAGAAAAATCACAAATGGCCAGGACTATGTTTTTTGATTCGGGCATTGGTGTGCACCTAAGCACTGGTACGTGCCAGGAGTCCCCCCAAAAAGCATTTGAGAACTTGAACATGTAAGCATTATATATACTTTCGAATTTGAGTGGCATTTCAAACCCAAGGGGATCAGATTTTAATTTTTATTCAGAAAAATAATAATAATTGTGCTAAGGCTGTTTGAGCTATAAACAAATCTAAATGAACAACTTGATATTTGATAGTTAAATGATTGATTTTGATGCAAGGAGTTCATGGGACTCGAGAATTGTAGCCTTTAGTTTAGGTTCCAAAGTTCATTCTATAGGTTCATTTTTAAATTCTCCTCTATCTTTCAAACAAAAAGGATTCAAGATTAATCCAGCTCCCTAGATATGCCGGGGTAGCATGCAAATATGTATAAAATACTGACAAATAATGGAGATGCAGATATGAGAATACCATTTCGTTTGATCTTTCCGCATCGTTGGCCAGTCCTTCCACTTGCTTGCACAATCCTGGAAACGCAATTGAATAAAGTAGTGAAAAAAGGAAGTCTTTGTAGCTTAAGTTTGGAGATGGCTCTTGATAAAGCAGACTCGACAAACAGGATTGTGTAGCCAACCACTAGTAAGTAATAGATAAGACTTTTTTAGTTGAGCAAATGCATGATACTAATAAATATGCTTCTAATGTATGATGCACAAAATGATGATATTCAACTGACACCATAAGAATGCTTTATAGCATTATGACAACACTAACCTTCAAATAGACTTTTGAGTTCAGCATTCTGAGATTTTTGCAGGGCAAGTTTCATTGCTAGCTCATGTATCTACCAGAAACAAACAAAACGAGCATCAATCAGTATGATAACATTTAGATGTCATTCTACAAAGGAATTGCAAAGTTACATCTACGCATCTGACAAAATTGTGGGCTTCAATCCATATCTAATCTTTAGCATTAGAAGTAGTGGTAATCGAAATTATGTGACTTAACTCCATTGTGTTGTGACTGTGTACAATCTCATCACAAAATGTGTTGTGTAAGATGAGATACAATCTCAAAATGAGTTGCCTGTACCTTTCCTTCATTGGCTTGGTTACCAATCTCGTCGTTTTCCTCTTGCAGAGTCCTGCATTTTGCCATTAACATCTTCCCCATTTTACTTTGTGGGGTGAAATTTACTGCAGCAATATTATCTTGCAACTCTTTTACTTTTTTATCCTTCTCCTCCACCAAATTCTGGCATATGTTCAAAAGTAGTCAGCTTAAAAAAAAGGTTTGCATTTTTTGCAGCATGCTAAACATGCCAAAAAGATCCTAAAAGAATTCATTAGAGAATTATCAATAAAGCAAAGAAATGTCCATAATGGTGGAACCCCACTTGGCACTCAAATAGAAGTGGTGAATCCGGCAACCTAACGGGAGAGAATGGGGTTAACAAATAGTTATCAAAAGTAAGTGAAAAAAAATCAGTCTGCCCGCTTCACCACTGAGAAACATTCTACAACTGTTGAGAAATATCAGTGTAGCAACAACAGGTGTGACACTTCGCAGTTAGATTGTTGATGAGGAAGCAGTCAATTAAATTTGGATATTGCTCGTCTTAGTATACTGTATCTTTTCAGTGAGAGCCTCAATAATTATGCCAGATAAAAATTAGATATCCAATCTTAGAGAAAGCATTTCGGTAAAGCTTAAAAATATCACTTACAAGTAAGAGCTTGTTTGGGAGGGGTTTTAATCCAATTAAAATTGAAAATATAGTCGATATTGGGTCCCACCTGTCTAATAAAAGTCAACAATAATGACTAATTTTTTAATTTTAATCTCTCCCAAACAAGCTCTAAATAAGTTTTTATACAGTTAATATATTTAAAATTGGAATAAATTACTTGTTTTGACACAGAGATGTACTTTCAAATAAGTAACTTTTCTTTTTGAATAAAAGTGAGGAAGAAGTAATCCTCAGGTGTAACTTATGCTGTACTATCAGCAATGCCAAATGTTTCAATTGCAAGAGACTATCCTCGCTTTGATTGACAGAAAAGAGAACTGTCTTACTTCAAAGTACCCAATACACGATTAGGTTGGTTCACTAACTAAACCAATTTTTAATTTGCACAATCTCTAACACTCCACAGTTTAAGCATCAAATTGTTGTCAAAAAACTCATTACACGTAAGCAAAAATTGACTATTGCAGCATTATAATTAAAAGAATAATTCCTAATTATTATCAAGAAATAGAATTGCACAAATAACTTTAGCTTATAAGTACATTATACATTAAAATATGTTTTAGCAGAGACCTTTCTAAATGAACTGAAAGACAAACCTACAAGGCACTCCATGAAACTAAAGCAATTAGAAATTATCCACATCAGAAATATAATACATTGAGTAAAACATCCTTCAGATTCATTAGAATAGGAAGTCATATTTCAATAGAATTGGAAGTCTAAAAGAATACCTTCAATCGTGTGAACTCTTCGTGGATTGCTGAGTCTAGTAGTAATCTCCTTGCCTGTCACGTTTACTACAAGTTAAATATTAACAAAGAAGAAGAAAAGAACAGAATCCAGAGGCACATTGCTCTTCATCTATAGGATCAGCTTTTAAATCAAAAGATTCTTCAAAATTCATTCTATTTGGTTTTAGTTCCACATGTATAAGGGGTTGATAACACAGAATTCCGATTAGTTCTACTGTTTCCACTAGAAATACAAGTTCTCTAAACTATTTTCATCTGACAATTTTTCCTTTTCCTTTTTATCCCCTGCCCGTATAACATCTTTATGTTGCCACATCTTAAAAGGATAAGTTCATGGCTTCAAACACATAAAAGTGAATTATACTGACCACTCGTACAATCTTCTTCTATCATGGATTAACTTCCATAGAAGCTACATAATCATTGAGATTATGGTATCGAACGTACAAAATAAACAACATTACATATGTCAAGTTGACACTTTCATAGCACTTTTCTATGGATTCGATTTGTAGCATCTTTGTCGTAGGTCTTAATAAAACCAGTTATAGTCCTTAAAGATTAGAAAACGGAAATTATTATAAAGTAGAAATTCTGAATAATCTCGAAATTACTTCTTTTTATACAATTTTTCATTGAGATGGAGGCAGGACTTCCAATTAATATTGATAAAAATCACGTCAAAATCAAAAAGAATGAGAAGTAGAAGAAAGAACATAAATAAACTCCAACAGAAAATGAAATCAATGGATGTACTTGTACTTGTAAAGCAGTTAATCCACATAAAAACAAACAAGTTCATACTTGCGAGAAACTTAAGTTCACATCTCAAATCTCAAACCGCAGACTGTATCCTATTTTTGTTTTCTGTAAGAGTGAAAATCACGCACTGAAATGAAAATCACGCAGGGGAAGTTCTATCACACGCACAGCACCTGCATTGATGGTGGTTTGAGCTGAGCTCTCAAATCTCGAACTGCAGACTGTATCAAATTGAGAGGAGAGGATGTCAGAATGCAGATAAGAAATAAAAGTTTAGCTTGATGATAAACCATTCATGCATCACTATACCAATAAAAGATAAAGAAAATATTAGCAAAGGATGACCTTCTCACCTTCAACTCAGCTATCTCCTGCTCCCGTTTCGCAAAGGTCACAATAAATGCAGCTTCCTTTTTCTTTGCTTTCTCAAGCTAATAAATAACAAAAAGATTAAGAAAAGCTCAGTTAACTACTAACTAAAAA